CAGCTGCATGAGCTACTTAGGTAGAACAGTACCTGGAAAGTAAGAGCTATACGTTTGCTTGGAATTGTGCTTTTCAGGACGAGATGTTCATTTTTATGGAATACTGTGCAGACGGCACTATATCAGACGTTGCCAAACTTGGCCTCCCAGAAACAATGATCAGAGTGTATGCTTACCAGATTCTTGTTGCCGTCAGCGTGCTTCACGAAAAGGGTATTGTGCACAGAGACGTCAAAGGTGGGTTTCACTGCATCTTGGAAATTAACTGATACGTTTTGGTAGGCAATATAGGAAGACAACCCATTGCTACAGTACTACAGTGTTGCTGCTCCTCTTGGAAGGAATACTGGCGTATGCAGGTTACATTTCTGAGCGGAGAAAAACTGTACGAGACAAATGCTATGAACAACTAAAATTAGGAATGTTGTGGCTGAGTTTTTTTGTAATTGTTTAGGCCTGTTAGATTATCTTGAAATCCTTGTGCGAGTCTTGTGAGCCTTGGTTTATCATGTGCTGCAAGACTACACATTTATTTTTACCTTTTGAGAAACTGTTGTAATAGCGCTTAATTCTTTTACGATAATCATCATCGCTGGTCGTTTTTGTCCTTGCTTAGAGTCCTCAACGGGAATGTTTTTTAGGTTTTAGTTCTCGAAGATTGGTTGTTTTTTAAGTACTTTGTTGTTCATTTCGAATGTCTCGTGAAATTTTATTGGGTTAGTGTTCCAAAAATATGTTTACTCTGCCAAGGTCAGTTGTCCTGTAAGCTCGAACATGCCTACCGATAGGATACGCAATAGCATGTTCTTGGGGCTGAAAACTGCCTGGACGATGAGCTGCCACTCCAAACAGCGCTAAAAGTATACGTTCAAAGCATACGCAGGAACGCTTTAAACGAAGGGCACATGGAATTACGAAGCATGCGCATATGCAAAACCGCTGACTACTCGAGAACGCTGATGTTCTTTGTTGTAAACTCCCTTAAATCGCATTAATAAAGAGAGAGAGAGAGAGTCTCAGAAAGTGAGTAAAAGTTCCTGATCAGACTCCTGGTGCCTCCGTTTGCACGAGTGACTCAAGCTAGTTTACGCCAATAATCCAACACAAGGATGGCAAGGCTGACAGTATTTTTGAAGATAGAACGCAAATAAGGAATAGAGTGTCGCGTCTCCTGCGATCATTTTCTCGCGCTGCCTTAAGTAAATCATTAATTAATCATAAATCTAAGGGTATTGCGTTTCAATAATTTATGCTACAACTTACTGCATATGCCATACCAATTTTTTTTCCGTTAATCATTTTAGGTGCCAACATATTTGTCTCGTCTGATGGTGTTCTCAAGTTGGGGGACTTTGGTTCCTCTATTAAGTTAAAGAATCCTCTGCAGACAATCTATGGGGAGATAAGCAACATACGAGGAACAGTGGGTGAGTTAGAAGTCATTTACCTCACATAAAGCATTCTATTTTACTTGGTTTGCTTTTTATTGTAATCGTTTGAGATATGCTAAAGCCATCAGTGACAAATGTGTTCGCGTTGCTATGGGCATTTTCGAAAATAAAACAATACATTTGTTTCAGCTTACATGGCACCTGAGGTGATAACACTGGATAAAGGAGCAGGGTACGGAAGAGCGGCAGACATCTGGAGCATCGGATGTGTAGTGGTTGAGATGGCAACAGGAAAGGTTGGTATTGAGAGAGGGTGATGGGATGATGGCCTTTACGGCAAATGGTGAAAATTTTGGTTATTTTACGACCAACGGTTAACCCAAAATGACGCAAAATGACACATTGCGGAAAGAAAAAATTCTCACGGTTAACTTTTTTAACGACTAACGGTTAAAACTTGTCAATTTTTACGACCACCGGCGAAATTGTTTGGCTGTTTTACGACCAACGGTGAACCCACTGAGACCTCTTATTGATCTAAAACAGCACTTTCACTCCAGGAGGTTACTAACAAGCGACTTCTCCCTACAAACTCCATACGTTGTACAGCAAACAGGTTATGAGAAGAGACACACGTATCTCCCATTGAGTGTTAGCCTAATATAAAACCGAATTGTCTTCATTTATTACCAGGGATTTAGTCAGCAGCTACAAAGACAAATACAAATCATACACTATACCTCTCAACTAAGTTATTTGCTGAATCTTGTCCTCAGATTATTACTATTTTTTTTAATGTATAGCCTCCATGGCCCGATTGCGATAACAACTTTGTGATCATGTTCAAAGTTGGCGAAGGAGCCACGCCTGCTATCCCTGAGAGTTTAAGTGAAGAAGGACAGGATTTTCTGCTCTGTTGTTTTCTGCATGATCCTTATGAACGGCACACGGCCAGTCAGTTAATGGACCATTCGTTTGTCAAGGTAGATCTCTAAAGGTATCGCGTACAAGTTGTATTTCAAGCAATAGATATCTGACCCCTTGATGATAGATGATTAATTGATCCGCACGTGTAAATGGCAATTTTAGTAATTGCAGAAAGTAAAACTTGGCCCGAAAAAGAATGAAGACTTCGAGTCTCCGGTTACTCGGATCCCACCGTATCTTGGACTTCTTGGTTTCTCGAACCATCTGTTCTCTCGACTTCCACAGTACACCGAACTCTCGGTTTTTCTAGCCCCACGGTATCTCGGACCCTCTGTTATCTCGAGCTCCATAGTACTCCGAACACTTGGTTTTTTTAACCCTACGGTATCTCGTACCCTCTGTTATCTCGAGCTCCACAGTACTCCAAACACTCGGTTTTTCTACCCCACGGTATCTCGAACCCTCTGTTATCTCGAGCTCCACAGTACTCCGAACTCTCGGTTTTTCTAGCCCTACGGTAGCTCGAACCCTCTGTTATCTCGAGCCACACAGTACTCCGAACTGTCGGTTTTTCTAGCCATACGGTAGCTCGAACCCTCTGTTATCTGGAGCCCCTTCATGTCCCAGATTCACGGTATCTCGATCCTCTGATCATTCCAAACCTATCAGTATCTGAACCAGGCTAATCCCGAGCCCCAGGGTATCTCAAACTATTTGAAGCCCTTCTCTATCGCAAACCCGTTCCGGATCAATATCAGTATCTGGGCATCCCCCGTTCGAATCTAGAACTGCTTGTTATTCCGTGCCTGGGTAGTTCGAACTCCTCGGTGTCACGAACTTCTGGTTTATGAAACCACTCTTTTTGTATGTCCTCTCCGTGTTCATCTCCTTTCCCATCAAGACCAGTATTGTTTGATTCATCAGAGTTGTGGAACCAGTATTTGGAAATTAGTTAGTTCTAAGATTCAAGTCTCGTACCTTTTCAGTTACGTACCATTCGAATAGCGGTTTACTCAAAGCACACACTTTCATAATTGTTACTGTTTTTTCTCCGCAGTGCTGTTAAAGTTTCGCGCAGATTGGAGCTACTGAAGTGCTAGTGGAAACGTTCTGAACGAATTTGTTCAAGTACTACCGACTTGGCAGTAATTTAATTCGTGGTTAAAGAATCATCGGAGGACTGATACTCGATCCGCAAAGATCAAAAGTTTGTCAAAGCTTGCGGGTCTCGCCCTTATAGTTGCTAAGCAACTGTGAACTATAGCGTTAAACCTATCAGACAACGATCGGAGAACTCGTCAGTACTTATACTAGAGTTTTATTGGTTTGTTAGAATCGGATATTCTCCGTGAACATGAAGAAGGCTAGGAAAAACGAGGCTAATTGTCCCGAGTGAAGAGTTGAAAAATAAACTAAATTATCACTTAAGTTAATTAAAATTATATCCATTCAGATTTGTATTAAAACAATGACTTTGTCCAGGCTAATCCGGATAAATTTGAAAACGAAGATTTTCCCTCGTAAACAAAGACATTTTTTCCTGTCATCCTATTGTTTTTGTACCATTTTGTGTACTGAGCGCCTTAATGGAGAAAACTGAACCCGGTTTTAAATTTATCTGGACTAGTACAGACAGGGTTGAACAGTGTGTGAAAATATGGCAATGGATGTACGTTGCTATGAAGTATATTTGAAGAAAATCGCGCATGTTGTTTCGATGTAAACTTTGGAAGTAATTGTTTTCGCTGTTCATAATTTTTTGATTGCAAGAATGAAAATATGATACTTTTAAGCGGTGCAAGTGTTCAAATAGATTGGTAAAACCTCACCTGTCGTCTCAAATATCTAAACAAACTGCTCTTGAATTTATTCAATTTTCACTGCATGGAATACTGAAGAATTTACATTAGAATTTATTGTGAAGTGTGGACTGAGAATAATAAACCATTAAAATGGTGAATTACAGTGTTAGTAGATATCACACAAACTGAATAACCAGCGCATCAAAAGATAACTTTATCGCTGACAGTATTCGATGTATTATAGTTTAGTTGGTATGTGCGTTATGATTGGTCAATTTAGCGGGCCGTACTTTATTGTACCGCCCGCTAAATTCAAATGTTTGTTGATTGAAATCTTCCCCTGAATTTGAACCCAGAGTTAAAATAGTCTTACTGACATCATTTTCTCGATTCGTACTGTAAGTTATGGAACCTTGTTTTTTTCCGGTCGGGGAAAAGCTCGGTCTTTAACTTACAGGGACTGTGAATTCTCGCTCTAGGGTATGTGATGGAAATTGGGGATAACTTTCTTCGAAGAGGGAAATAAACAAAATTACGCCAACTGGTGTAGGTTTTAGAGGCATATTGAAGGTTGAATAAATTCTCCGCTTCGGACGCATATCAAACTGCAAGGATTTTTTAATTGTGCACTGACGTTCTATCGCCCATTACGTTTTGCTGGTTATAAGTACTAAATTATCAGAAGTATTTAATTTTGCTGCCCCGCCTTTCCCCTCCCCCCTCCTCCCGCTCACACCCCTTACTCGTTCAACCCATTTGGCATCGAGCGTACCGTTTTCCTACATTTGCTGTATACCGAGACTATTGATAGATAGGGTTGACTAAACAAAGTAAATTCGGTACTGAAATCCTGTTTCTTGTAGCAATATTTTATTCAATGAAAAATTTTAACATTTACATTTTTTCACTCTCCCCACTGACCAATCAATGTACGCCTATTATGTAAACAAAATTTGATGATTGATAATTTTCATGATTATAGCTTTCTCTCTTCTGCTTTTCCTTCACTGAATGGGTGATATCCAAAAGGGTTTTTTAAAGATAGACCAAGCATCAGAGGGTTTCCTGCACGTTAAACACAAGCCCAGCGTTAAAAATTTATTTTTCTGCAGCCAAACCCTATCATGACAAAAATGCTTGCAAAGGGATGGTGTGCTTTGAAATGGCAAATGCTGTTAACCCCTTCACACTCAAGATCTTATTAGTAATTCTCCTTACTGTCTGCTAAACAATTCTTATAACGTTAGTTCAGAGAAGTAGGTACTGAATCAACTAATCCCTTATTGATAGTTTTCTCTAGTCTCATCACTTTTTTTGATGATATTGTAGAAAGAAATTCTGGGGGGGGGAGGGAGGGGGGGGTTTGAGGAATTTAAACCTTGCCTGGCTGCAGTGTTATATCTCTAAACATGGAGGTGTGTTAGGATAAAGAGTTAATTCACTTTTGCAATTGAATGGCTCAAGAAGAAAGGTCTACAAGGTCTAGTTTTTAAAGCTTGATGAATGAACAGAAAGTCATAGTTGCTGATTTTTCCAAATTCACAAAATCATTGAGCAGGGCATTTGGACATAATTTTGGCCCTGTAGAGTGAGAATTTGAACAAACCAATCCTCAAAAGTTCAAATGCCCAAGGAAGTGGAGGGATGTTAAAGCTTCCAATTGATCAGTGCATCAAGGGTTAACTTATTTTTAGCTACATGTTAGTCATCCAGTATAATGATTCTTGGCTCTAAGGGAATAGGTTTTCTTGTGGTCTGGCATTTAGTAACACTGCCCTGTGGCTGTTCAACTTGAGTGTTCCCACCTCCATGAGGTGTAAGAGTAGTAAGCATTACCCTTCTAGGTTGTGGAGGTTGGTTGATTGTGCTGTTTTCCTTATCTGTAAGAGAAGTTATGGATGGTGTCTGGGTTGTGATTGGAACAGGTGTCAGTGCTATTCTCCTATGCGCAGAGTTGTCAGTTTTACTAGTTTTTTCACCTCTTGCTAGCACTGACTGTTTCAAAGTGGGCTCTGTAGATTTGTTTGTGACATTTTCATTAACCACAGTTTTACGGTCTGACGTAGAAGATGTTCCAGGTAGTTGGGATGCTTGTGATGATCCCTTTGTGCAGGCTTTCTCAAGATCAGTTGCCAATGTCACAAGGGGTACTCTTCTAAGTGCAGATGTAGTTTGAGATGGAGAGGATGACTGTGCTAGACTGGTTTCCCTGGTTCTAACATCACCTGGGGGCATGTTCCCCTTGGCAGAGCTGGACCCCAGTGTACTGCATTTTGGTACTCGTTCTGGAACTTGCTTTGCTTCCTTTGTTTCTGTCACTTTTATGTCTTCAGGCTTGGATGTACTTTCCATAGGTGTCAGAGCAACACGTCTCGGTATTACCTGAGCTGTTTGTTTGATCTCAGCAGAGCTCTTGTTGGGTTGGTTACTTGCTGCTGGCAATAGCGCAACACGCCTTGGTGTCATCTGACCACCTGAATTATTTCCATTTAATTGCCCTTTTGCTGGCATCAATGTCACCCGTTTGGGACCAGCAGAAGACTGCTGAAGTCCTGCAGTGTTTGTAGCAGGTGGGGAAAATTGAACCACACTGGTGGACGCTGCTGAACTCAACTCTTCAGAAACTTGATTTGCAGCCCTTGGCTTTGAAGGGGCTGGTGACAGAGTGATTCTCTTTGGATCCACCTTTCTGGCAGGTTTGGTTGGTGTAATTTTCATAGGTATTGTAAACTTTTTTATCTTGCCTAATTGCTCCTTCTTGGTAGACAAGGGTGTTTTGTCACACTTTTCCTCATTCTTATCCTTCTCTGAGGGTGAGGATGCTCGCATGTTCTTGCTCACTTTACCTGGAATAGCAATTACAATTGTAACATTTCTATACACACTAGTTTTGGCCAGATTCATGACCTCTATTTTATTACTATTTAAGTCTCATGTTAAGCCATTTTAGTTGTGAAAAATAATGCTATAATAAATGATGTTCACTAAAGCAGAAGTTAGTTTAGCAGAATGATTTCTGTACCAGTAGCACTTATTAATGCATTTTAATTTGCTATAGCCAAGCTCAATGTATATGGTGCACATAAAGAAATTAGATGCTGGTCTCTCTTCAAGTTTTAATGTCAAAGGTTACCTGAAGTATCGGAAGTTTGCAGTGATGGGGAGTTGCTTCTCTCTAAGGCTTGTTTGACTGACAGAGAGTAAGGCACACCAAGCTCTCCTTCTTTAAAGTGGACAATGGTACAGTAGCCATCAGAAGAGGAAGCCACAAGCATACTTCCATCACTGGACCTGAAAGAAGGATGTATTGTCATGAAAATAAGAAGTTGCTATGTAATAATACCATTATAAGATAAATAAAGGCAATATACAAGTGGCATACTTGTAAACCTTAGTGATCGAAAAATAACAAAAATTAATCATGTTTGTAACAAAAGTTCATTGTTTGTTTAGTCATGTTCCTCCTCATCCTTTGACTTCTAAGAGTGACTTATATCTATTTCTCCTCAAAACATCATCCCCTAGGTTGGTCAGATCACTTGACCATTACCAGAATAACTGAAATGATCACTGACTAGGGCTCTTGACTGTTAAAAGAATTCTCCTCACCAGCATCTTGGAAAATGTATAGAGAACAGTATAGCTGAAGTTTTTCTTGGAGTCAAAGCATGATTTTCTTTAACCCTTAAACTCCCAAGATCTTATTGTTAATCCTCCCCTCTAGCTGTTACACATTTCCTTGTAAATTAGTTATGAGAACTTTGTGCTAATTAACAAACAGATTCCAAGTTGCCTTGTATCTGTTCAGTAATAGATCACAGATGACGTCAAAATGTGGTAAGAACAAAAAAGTGGCACACGAGGCGCAGCCAAGTGTGTCACTGATGTTCTTACCACATTTTGATGTCATCTGTGATCTATTACTGAACAGACACAAGGCAACTTGGAATCTATTTGTTTTATATAATAAATTAAAAAAGTGTTAATGATGACGTCATCTATACGTCTGTCCTGATCATAAGTGAGAACCAATCAGAATGCGTGCATAACTGAGCTTATTATATAAATCAAGATAGTAGCTTCTACCTGATAAGTTTGAATATTCTCATCACCTGTTTGCTGAATAATGAATGGATGTTATGGGGAGAAGTTTCATGTTTTAATCACTTCTAGGAGTTAAAGGGTGAACAAGTCACCCTCATTGTGCCCCCCTCCTTTATAGTATGGATGGAAAGCAAGCCATCAAAACCTTCTGAAATGCTGAAGATAAAATTGTTATGGACCAGCACCCCATGTAGGGTTAGCATCAACACCCCTTAGCCACTAACTGCTACAGAAACTGTGAATGGCATCAGCAGCCTTGTGAATGAAACTTGGTCACTGTTACCAAAAGTATATCAACCTTGTACATACCAAGTAAGATCAGTGAGAGCAGCATAATGAATATTGCTTATGTAACCAAAAGGTACTGCTTGTTGAGTGTCATACAACAGAATAGAGTCAATTGTTGCTACAGAGAAGACCATCCGGTAAGGCAACCTGTAATGCAAACAAATGATATATTAGAAAAAGATGTCTTAGACCTTCAAATTCTGCACTCCTATGCTCTACCACTGTGCCAAAAAAAAGACTCTCTTAGTTCCCACACTTGGGACAAGATGTAAAACATCTTTCTCTATTTCTTTAACCCTTTCACTCCCAAGATCTAATTAGTAATTCTCCTTACTATCTGCCATACAATTCTTATGATGATAGTTCAGAGAATTTGGTATTGGATCAACTAATAATCCCATAATTGATATTCTTCTCTATTCTCATCACCTGCCTGCTTGATATTGTATTGATATTGTAAGGAGAAATTCTGTCTTGGTCACTTGTGGGAGTGAAAGGGTTAACAAGCTTAAAATTTACCATCTTTCTTATTCTATCTAAATTCTCAGGTTAAGTGTCCGCCACTTTGCAAGGAGAGGATTTTAACATAAAATTAATCAAAGCACAGCGTAAAAAAACAGGAAACCTACTTGAAGATACTCTTTGCAGATTTGCCATCACCTTTCACTAGGAGACAAATATTATCTATCAGTACTAACAGTCATAGCTGGGGTTTGGTTTCCAACTAAAATATACAAAATGAATTGCTGAGTGTAATCTGCCAAAAATTATCCTTGGATCTAAGTTTGGTTAAACCACATTATTTGAAACACATTTAAGTAAAAGAGATTTGTAATTTCTTGCACATGTTTAGTTTGTTTATGTGTCAACTGTCAGGAAACAATGTCTACTGTCGAGAAGCAGTCTACTGCTGTTATTAAATAACTAAGATACTACAAGTGCTGGAGAAATTCTGTTTCGGTCACTAGGACTTAAAAGGGTTAATGCACCAGTAAACCCATAGATAATTGAAGGTCATAAATTGTTTGCCTATGGCTTGTGATTTACAAACTTTTTTAGTGTTTTCCCCACATCCCAAGATATTTTTTTTATAGTAAACTGATAGAAAGTGTGGTCTATTGCTTAAATAAATATGAGATAATAATGATAATCATCATCATCATTTTTATGTAAGCTTAAGTGAGCTGTTAAGTTTCAAATTTAAATTAAGTCTTAAAACACAGTTTAAAATACACAAACTTATTCTTGACATGCAAGAAAAGAAAAGAAATGTTTTTCTAAACTGTACCTTGTCTTAATTCAAACAGGATGGGGCAACATCGCACTGCCACTGTGGCCTTTTGAGGACTTGGAAGATAAAGTACTGGTCTGAAACAAAATTAATAAGAATTCCTATATGTAAATATAGGAAAAATTTTCCAAAGCAGTCAAGATTTCCCCAATAAATGACTTCTCCAAATGAAAGAGGAAAACTGTGTTAACATATGAAGGTGTCCTTTGTTTGTTACACGGATGGCAAAGGTACTTACTTGTTTGGAGATCCTCTGGTAAAAACATATGTTGTGTTGATAATCTGATCACCAACTTCAAGCCGGCCAGCTGAAAATTAAATGGAAATTGAGGAAATTAAACAAATTTTGTAAAAGGGGAAAATGCAAATGACATAGTGTTCGGGAACCTCACTTTTATGATTGGAGATTAGCTCATGTCTCAGTGCAAAAAAGTAAACCTAGTTGAGAGAAACATTATCTGGACCAAGAACCAACATGTGAAAAGACATAACAGTAACCATGTTTTGAGGGAAATGCTTACCAGGGACTAGAAGCAATGATCCCTCTGGTGAAAAACTTGGCCGGCGAAAGAAAGAGGGCATGGTTTCATCATGAAACATTTTCCCATGCTTAAATGCCTAAGGAAAAACAGGAACAGAAAATGTTTATGTTTGGTGTTATTAAATATCATTATTCTATATATTGGGTAGTGAGATAAAAATGCTTAATCCTTTAACTCCTAAGAATGCCTAGCATTCAATTTCTCCCTAGAATATCGCCCCTGAATCACTCATTAAGGTGACAAGAATAAAGGAAATGATCACCAACTGAACGAGTTGTTGATTGTTAAACAAACTCTCCTTATCAGCACCTTGGAGAGAGTATAAAGAACAGCAAAGAGAATATGCATACTGATGTTGGGGTGTAAAGGTTTAACCAAAAGAGAGAATGGTACTACCTCTCCATTTTCTGTTGGCTTTAGAGATCCATTTACCAACAGTTTTGTTATGTTATAACAACAGCGGTGAGAGTTGGGATTGTAAAGCCTGCAACTTCTGCAAGAAGGAATAAAAGTAAAGATAGAAATAAGTTATATGAAGCACAGCTTGTTGCTTTGAGTATTAAGTTCTGGTTTGCCAAGTTTTGTTTTGTTTCAAATATGACTGAAAAAATTTTTGTTATGCCTACTTTACACAATGCAGTTTCTGAACCAAACTAAAACCTCAGTAGCAAATGGACAAGGCATGTTAACACAACAGCTGCTACTTGATAACATTGTAAATGGTTTTGATATTTGCCTTCCAAACTTGAGAAAATGTAACAAGTAACTATGACATCAGAAGCAATTAGAGTAAATAAGAGTACTGCAAGTGTATGTATCCTAAATAATTTTTAATATAAGTTAACCCTTTGACCCCTAAGAGTACCTAGCATCTAATTCTCCTTATAATATTCCTCCTGCATCACATTGTAAGGTCACGAGAATATGGGAAATGATCACCAACAAAAGAAGCTCTTGATTGTTAAACAAATTCTCCTTGTCAGCTCCCTATGAAATGTTTCAAGAACAGTATGGAGAATATGCATACTGATGTTTGGGTGTCAGGGGGTAAAAGGGTCTTACCTGTCACTTGAATTTGTCACAACATATTGGCCAAGGGGATCCCAGCAAACTCCTTGAACATAATGTTTATGGTCCTTCAAGATTACAAGTTTCTGACCTGTAGATCATGTTCAACATGATAAAGTTGAGAATGTTTTGGTTCTTGGAAAAATAACCACACTCACCTCAGGGACAATGGTTGAAATTAAATGGGGAATGACAAAGCACAGATCAAACCTGGAATTTTCATAGGGGTAGAATGAGGAGAGGACAAGGATATTTTGCTTTTATTTGATATTATGCTTTGCATAGCATGAGGTGATTAGGAGAATTACTATTCCTCCCTAGATGAGTTGCTAGTTCATCACAAGGTTAATCCCCAGCATCTTATTAGACTCCCTGACAATTCAACAGTAACCATCTATGCTTCTGGATGGAGAAGGGCACTGGAAGAAACATGTTTTACCCAAGAATACAACACAGTGATCCAGCCAGGTCTCAAAACTGGACCTGACCTCTAAGACACTGTGTTTCTTATATTGGTACTGATACTGGTTCATAATTAAGGTGATTGAAGTTTCTCATTAGCACTGTCAAAGCCATACACATACCTTTAACTACATCCCAAATTATAGCACTATTGTCAACAGATCCTGAAATAAGATTGTTTCCATCTGGTGACCATTGAAGATCGTAAATGTCCTCAATGTGCCCCCTACATTTCAAAACATAAATATCCATCACATTAAATATTTTGCAAATCACCATGAAGCTCTTCATGAAAAACGTGAAGAAAAACGACCCTGCTGGTAATTCATACACATACCTCAGTGCCTTGTGAAAAGTCCAAGATTCCTTGTTTGGTATTTCATCTGCATCCATTAATGTGTCACAGGTGTTTCTCTCCCCTGAGTTATTTAGCTTCCATAGAATAATCATGGAGTCTGTCAAGAAACAAAATAATTAAGTAGATTTTAAAGAAGAAGGGAGGACACCATTAATACCATGAGAAAAGCTTAAAGATGCTATTTGTGTAAAAGAAATCATGATCATCCATATTTAAAACTACCTTTATTCTGCTTGAGAAAATTCATTGCTATATCTGATCAAGACTTCTTCTAAATGATTATTCATCACTTCAGACTTTCTCCTTCAAGAGATTACATTTTAGTCCTCCATGGGGAAGGTACCAGTATTTATTGGCAAAAGAACCCTTGTTTTTTTGTTTTTTAACAGTTTTCTTCTTTTCAAACTTACCATCTCCTCCTGATGCAAGAATCTCATCTGCGTGTAGAAATATAACAAAAAAAATTAATGATAGGCAACATGCAAGTTATGTGTTGCAGGTTTGCATAACTTTCTCGATTCCCATCGTGTTTCGATGCGGCAATGTAGATGCGGAAAAAGTCCTCTATTGCTTGAAAACAAATTGGTGATTAACATATGATCTCTCCTTAATCATCAGTCGAGACAGAGAGGTCAGTTACAAGTGCAAAGGCCCATGAATTAAGATATGAGATGCTAACGAATATGGAAGCGATCCTCGCAATTATGAACACTACTTAAGTAGTTGTGAAAGTAAGGCCTGAAAGAAATCAGGCCCGGGATTTGAACCCATGACCTCTGCGTTACCGGCGCAGCGCTTTATCAACTAAGCTAACAAGCCAACTAGGAGCTGGTTATTATGTTGGTTCCAAATAAACCCTCCAAGTGGTAAAGAAATGACTGTAAATATATGAAAATCATATATGTGAACTGCGGTAGAAAAAACGTGGGATGCTCTCACTAGATGCTCGTAAATCGGTGCCCAGAACGCTTCGAGGGGACCAAACAGCAGATCGAAGTTGTAGCTACGCGAAATTTAAGCTTACCTTTGGGAGAAAACTTCACCACGTTTACAGCTTTTGTGTGGCGACTCAAATTTGCTAAAAAGTCGATAGCTGTCTTTTGACCATCACTGCAAACGATAGACCAGATCTGCATTTGAAGGTAAAGAAATGAATGAAATAGCTAACTTAGGATAAACTGGGAAAGAAACAAGATGAAGGTCAGGAATAGTTTCACTGCAACAATTTTTTATCATAAATCCACGCTGAGCTTACCTTTACATCGTTATCTGCGCCCGCGGATGCAAGTCGCCATTTTGATCCCACTTTGCTAAAATCAACACTCAGAATTGGTTCTTTTCCATGCCAGGCGATTTCTGGAGTATCGAATTTCATCGTGGGTTGAATACTTGGGCTCAGAAACACAGAAAAAGCTCAAATGTGAAACAAACAAAACTGTGGAAGAGAACGAGTGATCAACATTCACAACTTGTCTCCTGCGCGCAAATGTGACTTCCTCTTTCCCGCCACAAATCTCAAATCCATATTTGGGTATTGCCGTGGATACACATGTGTTCGGTATGTCCTAATTTGGAAGTTGTCGGAGGTGACGATCAAAACATGTGTTTTGATGGTTTGTGGCCTTACAACCGGAACGGAAAATCTAAGGATACTTTTTCTTAATTATTTTCCTCGCTTCTATTATGCAGCGTACACCGACTTGCAAGAATTGCTGCAAAAGTTACGGCTTTAAAGGTAGCTATTACACATTCTATATACGTCTTTTTTGTGATAATTTACAAACAGTTTCACATGTAGACAATGAGCTTTGTGATGAATTTCCAAGCGTGCATCAGCTGTGATCAACCTTAAGAAACATCCTGATATCCAGTCAGTTAATGGGTCACAAGCTGAAATTACATGGATACCCATTTGAAAGCCGAAAATGTTGTTATTTCGACAAATATAAATTCTGTTGTGTCTGCTGTAGTACAAGATACACGTAAGCTTGATATTTTCTTCAGCTCATCCTTTGCAGCATGTCAGACTTTCACTTAGACAATGCAAAAGCGTAAAACCATTTTCATTAGTGTTATTTGTCAGTTGATTTTTTTAAAAATGCGGACTTGTTTAACTGTGGTTTGATCGCCTCTATAGAGTAAAATGTGTTGCTTCGCGTGCAAGTTGGAATTGAAGGGGAGAGGGGTGAATTTGGAGTCCAAGGGGGAGGGGTGGAACTGGGATCACTGTTTGGTGCTGTCACTTTGTGGGTACCAGCTGACTTACAGAATAGGCGATCATTGATGTCAATACCTTTTTTGTAAAAGTTTTAAGAGGATACACAGAGACAATCTGTAATCTGTGGCAAAAATGAAAGCTCTCTCTTTTTGTTTTGTAAACAATACATTTTTTTAGACAAATGATCAGTACATGATTAAAAATTTTCTTGAATGATTAACATAAAGATAATGTTACAAATTCATTCTTCAGATGTGACCAAGCCAATTGGAAATCGCATCCCCTTACTTTTGGAATGTGGCCACACCTTTTGCGAGGGGTGTGTGACTAAATGGGCCAGGCTACAAAAGACTGAGGTGTCATGTTCAGATTGTCATCACCCCACCCCACTTACAATTGAAGGAGAGAAGGGGGTAATGGCCATTCCCCCCAACATCTTCCTGTTAGGAGTGATGACCAACTCCAAAAGAGCTTCTTACCGCACGTAAGTGTATACATTAGCAGTGCTTTCTGGTCATATAAAGTCCATGCATGTTGTCTAACTTTTTATTTACTACCAACTCTTGGTTACACACTGATCAGCAGAATTCCATACTTTTTCCTTTTGCAAATTTATTTAGAGTACAATTTGAGCTGTAATTTTGGGTAAACAATTTTTTTTGTTCAAACTTGAATTATGTTTCAAAACCTGTGAACACACATATGAGATGTGCAGACTTGACAAGTTTAGAGAGGTTTTAGTTGAAATGTTTCAATGCATAGTTAGATGTGATTGTGAAACTGTCGTTCAATTTCTGGTCTTAATTTGTTTTTTTTGTTTGTTTGTTTGTTTGTTTTTTTTTGCTGTAGTGATGTTCAAAAGCCAGGTCGCTCAAAGCTTGGGACAAAAGCTGGTTTGCAAAGAGCAATTAATCAGTTTACCCGCGAAAAGAAAGCTGAACTGATGAAAATTGACACTGGTGAGTAGTGCACCTATGTTTCCCAACTTCAAGGGTCTTGAACCGAGTTTCCAAAGCCTTGATACTCAACTCAAATGTCTTAAAACTCAACTTGAGTCTCAATCTTCAAAGTTATCAAGTATTGAGGGTCAAGAATCCAGGATCAAGGGACTGTCAACTTACTTTTGAGTGGTACTGTAAAATAAATAAGATGAAAGTGCCAGGAGGGTCTTGCAAAGGAAAGATATATTGTACAGTATGTACAAGTGTATTGAACAAGGGAATTACACTAGTCTGTAAACCTGTCATGACTGTGCAGGAGTTAAAATATTTTATTGAATGAAGGCTATCGTATACTTTTTACAATCCTGTTTTGCACCATAGAATGTATGTATATACTTTAGTATATATGATGGAGAATGTCAATATTTCTTGTGGAATTAAATTGGCACAGATTTGGAAGAATGTATAGCAAAGTTTTATGGGGGGGTGGGGGGGTGGGGGGGCTTGAATTGAAGGAGAAGTAGTGTAATTTTAGCCCCCCCTCTTGGTCAGTTTTCTGGATTTGTCCCTTGTTTGTATCATTCTCTTTTTTTCTTTCTTTCTTTCTTTCCTAGGTGTACAATGTGAAGAGTGCACCAGAGCAACAGCCACTAGCAGTTGCAGCAAGTGTGAAACAGTTTACTGTCGTGCTTGTTTTGAGAGAGTATGTCTGTTGTTCTTGTCTTCATCTGAGCACACATCCTCCACTCCCTAGCTTAGCTTAAGAAAGTCATTAAATGAGAAAGCATTAAGTGGGATTTCACTTGGAAGATCACTGAGAAAGCAAAGGATGTGTCAAAAGCTACTGCTAAACGGCTTTCTCCTCGATGGTATCATAGCAGGGTCTGATCCACAGGGTTAAATCACTTCATAGAGCAAGCATGATTTGACAAATACATGATTGGTTCAGATCTTTTAAAATGTCAGGCACACCCAGGCATAATCTGAAGTTGTAAACTTCTTACTTTTGCTTGAACAGCTCAATAACCCTTCAAACCTTGAGAGTGACCAGTATCTGATTTCTCCTTACAATAATACTGCTGAATCATTCATTAAGATCATGAGAATAACAGGAAATGATCACTGACTAGAGAAGCTTTGATTGTTATACAAATTCTCCTTGTCAGTACCAAAGGCAATGTATAGAGATAAGTTTAGAGAATATGGATATTGATGTTAGGGAAAGCATAAACATACAGTTCAACAGGTCATTGACCTATTGGGAAAACTCAGTACACCTTGAGCCATAACTTGAACCCCTGAATAACTGAAATGTACTCCTTTCTATTTCCCTTGTAGGTGCATTCATATTCAGTTGCTTTGAGGAAACATGTTCCCTTACCTGTTGCAAAAAAAAAGTAAGGAGTTGCTCGTTATTTTTTTATAAAACAGTGATTGTGAATGCTAGGGGCCTTGATTTGTTCATATTGACAGTTTTGTTTGTGATACTTCTCAGCACTGAAACAGCTGTTGGGTGCCCTGATCACAATAACAGACCTCTGGAGTTTTACGACAAGGATGATTGTCAGCCTGTCTGTTCACACTGTGTTGTTACTGGAGAGAGACAAACACATGCTATTGCACCCATAGATGAAATTGTGAGTAAATCTTTTTTTCAATCTGTGAGTTTGGTTAAACTCATGTAATTTTTACATAATTTTGAGTTTCAAAAAAGACCTTAACTTGGTATAGTTAACTTAGTTTTGAATGCGTGAAATGAGACATTTTTTGTTTGATTAAAGGCTAAAGAAGTTGAAGATCAATTCAAGACATCAGTTGATGAAGTAGCTCCAGTTATCAAATGTCTAGACAAGTCAGTTCAGGTTTGTTATGCCTGAAAAGTAACAAATAAAATAACCAGCAAAGACACTGATTTTTAGGATATAGTTTTCCAGTCTTGGAATGTTATGAAATCTTTTGATTACCCTGTCATTTTTCAGTCCTGGAAATTCATAAATTTCACAAGTTTGTTTTACAGGCCTGGAAAATCTTTTTATTTCATCACATTATTTCTGGGCCTGGAATGTTGTATAATTTTGTGATATCATTTTCAAGACTTGGAATTCCTTGGAATATGGAAAGTCATGGAAAATGATCCACAATTTTTTGTTTGAGAAAAGAATGAGAAATACTTCACTGATTTATTGTTTGAGGTTATTTGAAAGCAAATTATTGATCTATGGTCCTGAAAAAGTTCAAAACTTTCCTGGAAAAGGTCTTGGAAGTAAAACAGTGTGAACTCTGACAATCTATAATATTTTATGGAGTTTAATAAACGAATTAGGTATAATCCAGTTTTATGTTGTTATTCCTTTGCTTACAGGTAATTTGTAAAGCACTTCCAGGAGTTAAGGCTGAAAAGAATGAAATTGTGAATAATATCAGGGAGCACTTTCAGATGTTATATTCTGCTTTACAGACCAGGTACACTAGCATTATCACTACAGGTTACAAAGTGTTGTCTGTTGCGAAGTCAAATGCACCCATTTTGTAAATGGCTGAGTCGTTGCTTAGAGTTGCCAGGAAACTTTGGCATAACTGTCTAACCCTTTAACCCACAAGAGTGATAAGCATCTAACTTCTCCCAACAGTATCACCTCTGAATCAAACATTGAGGTCATGAGAATAAAGGATATGATCATAAAGCTCTTGATTGTTAGGCAAATTCTCCTTTAAGTACCATAGGAAGTGATAGACAACATTATGGAGAACTTGCATAATGATGTTAGGGTGTAAAGAACTTGCTTATAAAGGGGAAGATTGACACAGCTTGTAGAGTAGAACAAACTTGCAAAAATAGGGTCAAATTTTAAGAGTTGAGTTAGCACCCTGCTTTTTATGTCTCCTAACACCAAGCATGTGTTCTTTTGCAGAGAGCAATCTCTGATCAAAGAAGTTGAACTAAATCACAATGGGGAAAAGATTCTAGAGAAAATGGTATAATAGTTGTTTAGTGTTGTAGTCACTAGTATTTTTGTCATATTTAAAGCTTCCTTGGCTTAAGTGGGCTCTCTCTTGCTGCTTAGGTTTTCACTCACCCAACCATCCCCTCTCTCCAGTGAAAAGTAAGAAGTGTGCTTTTTTAAGCATAATTAAATTTTTAATGTGCTGTGCAAATTTTTTTGGGTATTGTATAAACTAACAAGTTAAGTAAAACCATGTTTCAAGTCAACAACAAAATTCAGTTTGCAGTATTTATCTCATAGGAGAGCAACTCTTATTGAATTTATCAAACTTTATGACTTTTTTTTTCTATTATTCTAAAACAGCGGGAAGAGGTTGCTGACAATTTGCGGAAAGCAAAAGATTATGTTCATGGTAAGAGATAGTCTGTTGTGTTTATCTTCAGTTGGTTTTGTGTTTGTAAAACTCAATGAAAAGCAATCTTATCAAGAATTGATTGAGGTTTTTAACCTCAAGAATGTTAGCTTGTGATATCCAGCTGCACCATAGACCAAAGTGAGATAATATTTTTGACTAACATGAGCTACATTGCAGTAAACAGGTGAGTTCTCCGCTATTTTTAAATATTGCTATTTATATTATCACGTTTTCAGAAGTGGAAAGTATGATTGGACAACCACAGACATTAATTGACAATGCTAAAAAGGTCAGTTTTATGCACTCTGGCTCATGATTCAATTCTGATAAAATATATATATTATTAATTGTAGTTATTATTTATTTAATGCATGTACATCACTTTTGTCTACTTGTTACCTGTTAAAGTTACCACAGGGCGTGAAATTAATTTTTTTTCTGATAGCCACTTGGCTCCTAAATTCTTCAAAGTGGTAGCCAATTCAAAAAAAGTTGGTCGCCATTTTCAAAGACAAACAAATCCTTTTTTTACGTTGTCAGTGTTCTAGATAGACCCTCCGAAATTAAGTGAGGGAAAAGATCTTTAACAAGCCACAAAGAGATATACAGCATTCAAGCTCACTTAAATCCAAGATGGCATCTAGTTATCAATCGTGAGTCATGTGCTGTGTTTTGGAAACAAACCTAACAAGGAAGTTTGCCGCCGATTTATCTTTGCAAATCTTTGTAATTCACTATATCTCTTGGCAAGGTTATGATGAAACATTCTAATCACCAATTTTGTGACTAATTTTCAGGATTTGGTCACCAAAGTGAAAAATTTAGTCACATTGGCACCTGTATTAGGCACAATTTCACGCCCTGTACTAATGTACCTGTTTGTGTTGAAGCATTACAGGATGTGAATTATCAGTCTATCTCTCAACCAAAAAATATATTTTGTCATATTTAGTTAAGAAGAGAGTTGGAATGTGTTAAAGAGATGCAGTGCTGTGCAGTAAAAGTGATATCCCATGAAGATCAAATAAGGTAAGCTGCATTATAGTGTTAAGTTCATTATACAACAGTTGTGTCTACAGTTATTACATTTGTTTAATGATACAGTGCTCCATGGGGCATGTGTCATGGAAGGCTTAATGGAGTTTATTTGTGTTTAGGTTTGAAACTAGAGGAGAGATGAGGGAGACAATTACTGAATATGGTTCTGTTTCCACAGATGGTTGTGCAAGGTGAGAATATTAATCATTTGCTTTTGGTTATTTCAATAAACAAGACCATTTTTGTATTCCCTTTAACCCTTTAACTCCCTTGAGTGACCAAGACAGAATTTCTCCTTACAATATCCATACAATATCAACCAGACAAGTGATGAGAATAAAGAAAAATATCAATCTGAGGATAATTAGTTGATCCAACACTAAATTCTCTGAACTAACATTATAAGAATTGTATGGTTAACAGTAAGGAGAATTACAAATTTGATCTGGGAGTTAAAGGGTTAAATGGTACGTACACTGACCAACAGGAAACTTTTAGAAGTAGAAATTAAAAAAACTCTCAAAAATGATGTGATTTACCTGAAAAACACTAAGGTAACACATCATCAAATTGTTTCAGACAATCTCTCCATATACAATTTATTTCATATTTTTGTCTGCTCTGTCAAACATTGATTATCAGATTTGAGATGAAAAAATTGAGTGCAATGAATGAAGAATACTTGGGAGTAGAGAGTGATGACTCAGAACAGGAGCTTGTTAATGCTCAAGAAGAACAAGAAGACACTGCAGATAATCAGCTGTCTGATCAAAGAATGCAGCATCAGAGAACACCAGGATCAATCACAGTGTCCAGGATACTTAAATCAAATCTTGCATGTAAGGGCAGCTTCTAGTGTAGGTATTATAACCTTTTACGTCCTAACAGTAGTATGAATATTTCCATACTGCTCTCTATGCATTTCCCAAGGTGCTGAATAGGAAAATTTGTTTAACAATTAAGAGCTTTGTTAATTGGTGATCATTTCCTTTGTTCTCATGACCTTAATGTGTGATTCAGGGGTGATATTGTAAGGAGAAATTAGATTGCTCTTTCCTGAGAGTTTCTTTGCTCTTTGTAACTGGTGACTTTAGACTGGTGTGTACAATTTAGGAAATGGAATGATGCAGTAAAGTTACAATTGTCAATTTTAATACAACCACATAACTATCTGAAAAATGGTGTTGTTGTTTAGATCGTCATGAACTTGTTCTTGTGACGCATATCAGAGATCCTTGTCAGTTTATGATTCAAAGAGTTGCTGACCTTGAACAACTCCAGATCATGATGAATGTCATCAACATCTATTGCGACAGCACAGAGAATGTTCATGATCTTCTATATGATGTCAAGTTTGGTATGTTGGTATTTTTTGCTCCTTTAATAACAAAAGTCAGTGCAGAAAGCTGCTGCTGCTGCCTTGAAAATTTTTGGAAAAGTGGATACTTCAAAATTGTTCCTTTCCATACTGATGTTTTTGTTTTTGCTGTTGTCAGGTGACATGTGTTGTGCTCAGTTTACAACTGATAATCAGTGGTACAGAGCTCGCATCAAGACGGCATATTCTCCTGCACATCCCAACACTGTTCCAACTCTGGAGAATAATCTTTGTGTTGAGGTGCAGTACATAGATTATGGAAACAGTGAGTGGCTGCCTTTAAGCAGGTAAGTATGGAAGGCAAATGCAGAATTTTTTGGTGGTATCTCAAGTGCTCTTATCACTGGTAAACAAACTTATGAAAAGTAGAAGAGTAAAAATTGAAATCAAAATGTGATAATAAGTACTGGTGCCCTTAGAAGTTGGTTGCTATGCATTGATCTATTCCAGGTTGAGAAAGATGAAAGCAGAATTTCTAAATGTTCCTGAACTTGGAGAATGTTGTTGCTTGGCAGACATTGTACCTCCATTCCAGGTTTGTTTTCATTTTTACTCGGCAGGGTATTTAAAAGTTCAATCATTCAATAAATTTTCCTTCTTTCCTTCACTTTTGTTTCATTACAAGGAACTATATAGCAGCCAGAAAGTAGGCTTTTTTTATTAGATCTTTATTAAATGGGTTTCAACACTGAATAGGAGAAAGTGTGTCTTAGTGTATCAATTCAAATTGTGTTTGATATTATTTTAAGGAGGAAAAGTGGCCTGCCAAAGCAATAAAGGCGTTTGGAAGTCTGACTGGAGATAAACCTTTGTTGATGACAGTAAGTTCAAAGAAGCTAAATGAATTATTTTGTACAACTAAGCTTTAGTGACTTGAAATGTAATCCTTTCAAGGGAATGGTTTGTTCTCTTAAGGATGTACATGTGTGTGTGATCAAGTGACCACTGTGGTAAATGGTTGATGCAAATTTCGTTAATATTGATGAGAAAATCTCCAGGGACTAAATGAACAATACAGGCATTCACAGACCAATTCTTTGTCAACTAAACTCATTGGGCCGGTTATTTAGACACAGTTTAGCCGTTGTCTAACAAAACCGCGTTCTAACTCTTTGTCTTCCAAGAGAGACTAGCATCTAATTTCTCCTCACAATATCACCCTTGAATCACACATTAAGGTCATGAGAATGAAAGAAATGATCACCAACTAAAGAAGCTCTTGATTGTTAAACAAATTCTCCTTGTCAGCACCTTAGGAAATGTATAGAGAACAGTATGGAGAATATGCATACTGATGTCATGGTGTAACTGTCTGTATGTTTTATTAGGTGATTGGAAGAAAGGGAAATAAGCTGGTGGTTGACTTGCGTCGTCCTGAAGATGATGAACCAACTCAAGATGATGACAGACCTGTGTCTGTCCGTGATGCCCTTGTTTTCTTGGAAGTGGCTCGTTTCTCTTCTCCTGCCTCAAAACCTGAAGGTTGGTAAATAACCTGGTTTAAAGCGCCCTTTGATTAAGTGTCATAAAAACAAAACCAAAGTAATCACAACTACCAATCAGAAGAAACGGAAATACTTTGAGAGCCAATGAGAGCTCGAAGTAAAACCAACCAAACTGCTTAAAGCGCGGGAAGACGCGGACGGCCAAGTCGTGATTGATTTTAATTTTGCATCTGATTGGATGATAGATTGGTGCGAGTTTCCTGGGGCAATCACAGAGTGAAGTAAAGCAAAAACAAAGTAACGCCGAATTACTTTCGACACACAATCTAAAATTACTCTAATGAAAATAAATCAATGAGTGAATGAATGAGTGACTTAATAAGTACAGAGGAAGAAATTAAGTTAGACTTATGTTGAGGTAGTTTTGAAGTATGGCCTTCCTGTAGTTTTAGATGTTCCGTTGAATCATTTCAGGGCTTTTCTTCCCTAAGAAGACTTACAAAGAAGCTGTTCATATCGGTGAAGGAGCATTTGTTGATGTGCTTGTAACACATGTTGCTGCCCCTGATGAAATTTATGTGCAAAAGGTTTGAAACATTGTCTCGATGAAGTGGCTTTTAATTGAGTGACAAAGTAGTCGCTTGGGGAAAAAAAGGGTGAGGTGTGGGGAGGGGGTAGGGACGGAACATAAAACAACAGTGCAACAGTGCGTTACGTTTACGGCGAATATCTATCTTACCCCAATGACAGACCACTGAAACACTGAATGATAAAAAAAAAAAGATTACAACTAGCTATGTGGCCGTCGGTTTTGGTGACTTGCATTGCAAACATGCTGGGTAGAATTTTTCTCCACTGGTCATGGTGACCTAAACAGTGCCAGCTTGGAGCGTTGGTTTAAGCTTTTGAACAACTTTTCGATTTGGTGAAAACTTTCATGAGGATGACTTTGGAAGATCAATATAAAACGATTACTTGTGGACTATCAGTGTTATTTCTGAGCTGTACTCGATGCGTTTAACTACATCAAAATAAGAGGGAGTTTACTCTCGGGGTTTCGTCATAAATTTTTGTCATTATGGTATTTCTTTTGGTCCTCCATGTTGGCAGCTGCGCAGTGAAGAGACAACGGAGCTACAGCATATTATGGAGGAGATGAGCAAGATGTTTGGAGGGAGGAGGCGTGGAACCGAATGGAGTGTTCCGTGGCCTTACAAGGGTAGGTTTGTTTACGATTTACTTTACGCTCAAGCAAGTGGTGTTTAATTTCGAGAAGAGATATAAAAAGTCTCCCTTCCCTTTCCATAAAGTTCACTGTAGATTGGAAAATTTACTGGCTAAATTACCCTAAGCAAAACATTCTCCAGTTACTTTACGCTACTTTCATGCTACCATTTCTTAATTAAAACTTTACCTTACTCTCAGTTCCCCTAGGTATAGAAAGCAAAGACGTTATGCTACCGTAAAAAGTGGAATTGTTTCCACTTGTTTAGAGCGCTTTTCGACTGAGTGTCGTAAACTAAATCCATAGGAAATTACAACGGCAAATCAGAGGAAAGGAAGAAGAGTCAATGAGAACTCGAGTAAAAACAAGCCAACCGCCTAAAGCGCGGGAAAACGCGAGCGACCAAATTGTGACTGGTTTTAGTTTTGCATCTGATTGGTTTGAGAAAATGGTGCGAGTTTTCTGGACCAATCACAAAGCGAAGGAAAGCAAAAGTAATACAATCCCGGATTATTTTCGAGACTTCATTAAATTTACTATATTGAAGTTCAAGATTATAATGTTGCACTACTGCAGGTTGTAGGGAGATAGAAGAACGTTCTTAAGTAAATGTATTTGGAGTTAAACGAGTTTGTCATGGTCTACTTTCGTCCTCATGCAGGTCTTGTTTGTGCGGCGAGATTCACAGAAGACAAGATTTGGTACAGAGCTCTCGTTACGGGTAAGGGTACTATAAAGTATCAAGCTTATACGTAATAAGTTTTTTACTGTAGTGTACATGTGATAGTGTGTATTGCGACACGTGATAGTTTGAATTGTGTATGTGAAGTGTACTTGCGATAAACAGCTGTTGAATGTTGTTAGCTCGTGTGCCTGGATGTGGCACATGTAACTTGAATTAGAACCAGTTTCTCCTTTCAAACATCAAGGCCGCCCTGAGCTGCGATCTAAGTGCGAGGTCTGTTACAATCTTTGCGTATCTTCTTCTTAACTCTTATTTTTACAGCCGTAAACAGCGATGAAACCGTAGACGTGACGTATGTAGACTTTGGAAACTCTGAAAAATTGACATTTTCCGAGATCAGGAAACTTCCCGACATGTTTCTGAGACTTCCAAAGCAGGTATGGGTTTGAAAAGGACGTTAAATGTATGGGTTTGAAAAGGACGTTAAATGTATTTGTCATCAGTGTGGGTTAAACTTGAGTTTGCATACGAGACTGACTTGCAAAAACTGCTGGAGATGATCTCGATTTCTGGAGCGTGGACTCCATCGCCGGCCACATAGTGGTCAAACGTCGGGCATGCGCGAGGGGATCCATTCTGGCCCGCCGCGCGCCACTTTCTCGCGTAAAATTTCAAAGGAACAACCGCTTTCTCGCAAATTAAGCGAAAGAAAATTGAAGCGATCTAGACCAGAGTTCTAAACCAGACCTTTCACTTACAATTACATCACCTCGTCCTGTTCCCTGTTCCCTTCCCCCCCCCCCCAACATATGTGTAGGGCAAAGAAAAATGATGTGAATCCAGTTGGCGGCTCAGACCCTCTGAAACTGGGCGACATGAAACCTTTTCCATACACATTTATCACATGCTTTATGCACACACCTCGAAATAAGTGTTGTTATGTAGCAATTTTACATCAAGTAGAAAGACAAGTAGAATGACAAGAACGTTGATTTTTCGTCCCGAAAGGCATTACCTGTTTGTCTCGTGGATATCAAACCAAATGAAGAAGAATGGCAGGGACAGGTGTGTGGGGAAAGATCCTTGGCATTGTAGAACTTTCTTTACTTTACCATATCAATAATACGTTCATTAATAAAGCTAGGTAACGTGATTTTCTGCGTCATGTAAAAGTACCTAAAACATGTATGAAGTCCCAAAATATTAGTTTGCAAACGCTTGAACAATTTTACCAACCCAAAAGCCTGCATGCAGGCTAAAGAGGCGGTGGTAAGAGGTCTTACCGACGGTGGTAGACGGTGGTAAACGGTTTTTATCGAAGCCCTGCTATTTACGTCTAGTCTTCTAAACACGCGAACCATTGGGACAACATTTGAATAGAAAGAGCCAACTCAGTTTGTAAACCGCCGCCCGTGACTTTAGTTTTCCATAGTTAGGATTCTTTTCACATCAATATGCATTTTATTAACCCTGGAATTCCTAGGATTTGTTTCGTAAAGTGTTCTGCAAAGGCCAAACGAGTTTTATTGACATTGCGTGTGTTTTTCGAACAGGATCAACAGAATGTTTCGAGCCTGTTGCTGAATAGGTCGTTGGTGTTTGAAGTGAAAGGTAAACGTTCAAAAAGGTTTCACACCAAAGATCACGATCACGATCACGATCACGACTACTTTTCGTGCGCCTCACTCTCAGAGTTCCGCGAGGCGCGCTAACATAATTTTGTTTTTTTCGCTGTTTCTTTTTTTACTTTCGTGGCGTAAAAGGAGGGATTACTCGCAGTCTATTATGTAGGCAGTGTACTTTATCGAGTCATTGTGCTGCCTTTCTTCATCTTGTGTTGAGCTACCATTATTTGCTTCTCGTATTTATGCGGGTTGTTTTATAATTTCAGGAGTTGTTGATAACAAGATGTCGGTTTTGCTGTATGACACCACGGGCGCTCAGGACGTTTGTATTAATCAGTTTCTTGTGCAGCATGGTTATTGTCAGACGGCTGGACTCGGGTAAGATCAGAACATAGCACGCTTTTTTTGACAAGATCAATTTCAGTGAAGTGTCGAAAGTGTTCAGGGATCGCTTTAGTTTTGCTTTACTTCGCTCTGTGATTAGTAAAGAAGAATCAAGCCATTTACTCAACCAATCAGATTCACAAGCAAAACCAGTCGCGACTTGGTCGCTCATATTTTCACGTGCTTTAGGCAGTTTGCTTGTTTTTACTTTGTGTTCTCATTGGCACAGCGCTGTGATCACAGATCATGTCTCTGCTAAATCTAATTTGTTTGTTTTTGTTTTGTTTTTATTTTTTTATTGTTTGTTTCATTTAATGTTTATCTGATTATTCCTTATGTCTTTTATACGGAATTGTTTTAGAAAGCACGCTATTGTCAGTGTTATATAGACCAAGATTTTACACATTTCGCTGTTGTGTGTATAGTTCAATTTTGTGTTTCAGTCATTTAAAGCAAAAGGAAGCAGAAAAGACAGAATATTTAGAAACAGGAAAAATGCGCAGGAGAAACAGCTTGTGTCGCATTCTTGCATGCTCATTCAAGCATTCTTGCAGCATTGTAAAGACCCGGGATGAACTAGCCACTGAAAGTGAGAACGCAAGAGATAAGAAGGAAAATGAGATCCAGACTGAACAGAATGTAGAAGAAACAGAAACTGGGCAGGAAACTGCAAACGAACCTGACATTCAAACGGAGAAGGAGAGCCAGGCTAGTTCATTCAGGGAAGAGGAGAGGGCTGTGTCTGAAGATAGAACGGAGCCTCAAGCCAGTGAAACATCTAGCGCCTCCTGTGATTACAAGGAGTTGAAGTACAAGGCAGCAACAATACCGGAAGGAAAGAAATTCCAAGCCGGAGTCACGTTTGTGGATTCACAAGGATATGTGTATGCTCAAGAAGTAAAGGAAGGTGAGAAAATTTGTTGCGACAATATTTTGAAAAAGCTTCAACAGAAGAATTGACTTTTATCCCCATTAAGTATTAATACCACGTAATCACGCAATAAAGAAAAAAAACATACGTATGTGGGCCGTCGATGGGCAGCTACATATATTTTCCATTTGGGACAAATACAACTGCCAAGGGAGGGAAAAGATGGGGAATACAATAATTCACGGAGCGAGCGAACCGAACGATTCGACTCACGAGGTTATAATGAAATGCGATTCCTAGCTATGTACAATACATGCTCACCATTAACTTGTATTAACTATTAATACTATTTAATCACGCAATAAAGACAACAATCGTACGTATGTGGGCCGTCGATGGGCAGCTACATATATTTTCCATTTGGAACAATTACAACTGCCCAAAGAAATACCCAAATGGTAAGGTTTGCGGTAAATGGTAAAGTTTGCGGTAAGAGAAACGAAGGGAAAAACTAGCTGTCCACTAGGAATCTTGAGTGTTTTGGTAGTAGGGATTAGCTTATTGATAAGTGATTGACGCAGTCTTTGCTATTCGCTGAGGGAACTGGGGAAGGACATTGAGCGGGGAACGAACATAAGTCTTGTAACAGGCTGATTTCCAGCGACCTAACATTTGAATTTCGTAGTCAGCAAGAAGTAAAGGAAAGTGAGAAAGTTTGTTGTGATAATATTTTGGACAAGCTTCAACAAACGATTTGACTTTTATCCCCATAAAACTTGAGTCTAAGTCTTAGGTAGAGGGTTGCATTTTGCTGCCGGAGTTTACTATCGTTTTTGTAGCGTAGAGCTGTTTTTAATAGAGAGTCAAAAGTTATCCCAGAGTGCACTGGTTTTGGTTTACTTCTTTCTGTGATTGGTCTAGAAAACACGCGTCACTCTCTCTACCAATCAGATGCAAAGCTAAAACCAATCATGACTTGGTTGCCTGCGTTTTCCTGCGCTTTAGGCGGTTTGTTTGTTTTTATTATGAGTTCCCATTGGCTTTTAAAGGCATTTTCGTTTCTTCTGACCGACCGTTGTGATTAATTTGTTTTACGACATTCAATCGAAAAGTGCTTTTAAATAAACTTGCCTATGACGTAAGTTACGAGTACCATGCTTTCAAATGTACTGTGGCGGTTTCAGGTGACCGTACTTTGATAAACATCATGGGAACCTTGTTAGAGAGATACGGCAAAAGCGAGGATCAATCAGGAGCACCTTCCGATGTAACGTCATTGTTCCCAGGCCTCCCGTGCGTTGCTCAGTTCGCAGAGGATGGTATGTGGTACCGTGCCTCAGTGATAAAAATATTAGAGGAGGATAAAGTAGAGGTAGGTAATAAAGGACCGCCTTGTCTTGCACTATGTAAGAAAAGTGCTCCCATATGTACTCAAGAATGATAATGAACTTGGTTGTATTTCCTCAGGTGAGCTATGTTGACTTTGGAAATTCGGAAGTTGTGTCCCTGTCTGCGATAAGGCAAGAGATGCCATTCATGGAGGTTCCTAACCAATGTCTTCAGCTGGTTTTGCGCGGAATTGAACCTGTGAGTAGTTCTCTGGTTGTCACATTGACTTTGATCAGAAGCATGTGATCTACGCAAAGTTATATGCCTTGGCTTTGATGCATAGCTACTTGAAAGAAAAGAACTCCCAAATTTTTGACGAAAGTGGCCGTTAAATTGAAATATAACTGTAGAAAACCATTAATGAAGTGTATGTAAGCTGAAATGGAAACTGTTACAAATTTAGAGGGATTATTGTACACCCAGCGTAGCCTGTAGGGTAGGTGTCATTTTTGCGAGCGAGTGCTCAGTATTTTCTTGGTGAAAATTATAGCTAATTTTAAAGCAGTAGAAGGCTGGAGAGAGAAAGAAATTTGTAACAAGGGGGTGGGCGATGCTCCAATGGAAATACCAGGAAAGGAATGGGGCGATATAAATTACATCTCGCCTTTCCCTACCCCCTACCCCACTGTCTTCTCGAAGTCGAAATCAAATATGGCCGGTCGAATAAACGATCGCGAGCTTGTAACGTTAACTCGTCCGTACTGCAGGCTACACCCAGCCGGTAGAAATATAGCTTGTCTGATAGGTGATCTTCGCCCAGTACTCCAGAGATAATTATCAATTTACTTCATCACAACTGCTTTTGTTTTCTTTTCCATCTTTTACAGAAAACTAGTGACGGGCATTGGCCACCAGAAGCCATCCTGGCATTGTCTCAGGCTGTCGTGGGGCAGGACTGTATGGCTACAATCAGGGTGAGAACTTTCTGTTGTAGTAACCCTTTAACAGCCCGAGGTGATTGATATGTAACTTCTCAGAGGTGGAGGGAGGCACAGAGAGTTATGCTTCTTGTCCGAGAAACGCGAATAACTTTAGGTGCGCGTTATTTTTGTAGTTATTTACTTTTAGTCTCGTTTCTAGGGTGACAAACTGCCTGGCTACCCTCTGGTGGTAAACCTGTCTCTTCCCGATGGTTCTGATGTGGCGCAGAGCCTGCTGAGCAGGGGTCTGGTTCAGAGATCTCCCGCGCCAGGCGATGAAGAACAGTCGTCCCAGTTCCACCCGAGAAAGCCAGGGCCTCGGAAAGCCAAGCCTTTCATATCAAAGCGATCAGTTACTGAAACCAGGTCAGTTCGTTTGAATCAACACTTATTGAAACTTCATCCGCAAACTTGAAATTTCCATTCTTATGCAGAATGTGATTTACTACCTCTCACAAGATCACTGGTACTTTTTCACTTCTGAAGATGCTTTGGGTGCAGCTGCGGGATGCTTGTTACACATCAACTTAGTTTGAGGCTAAACTCGCAAGCGTGTTCTACGCTCTAGAGCTTACTTGGTAGAATACTTTTCAATTGATTCTTGAAATAACAAGAAACAGTGTCATCACAAGTGCCAATCAGAGCGAAGGCTACAATTACACTAGCCAATAAGAGATCAAAGTTAAAAATAGGCAAACTGGAAGAAGCGCGAGGAAAACGCGGGTGACAAGTCACGAGTGGTTTAGTTTCACATCTGATTGGTTGAGGAAGATGGCGTAAGGCGGCTAGACGAAAAATAAGAGAAAGATAATACAAAACCAGTACTCGATTAAAAATTTCTTTTAAGCATCCGAGTAGAAACTTGGAACTGGCTGAACATTGAATCCTCTAAACGTTTAGTCCTCGTGACAAATGTTTGTCTGGCATATTTGTCTAAACCTATTTAGTGAGTTAACGTTGTCATGATAAACTACTTTGCGTTTTGTTTTCACCAAAGAGCGCATGCTCAAATGATCAGTTCCCGAGAGGCTGAATGTGTGTTGGTGCAGTCGGAACTCCCTGGGGATGGAATACGGTTTGACGTCACTATCACACATATAGAGAGACCTGACTGTCTGTTTATCCAGCGAGTTCCACCCACTGAGATAGACAAGGGCTACGCTGACGATCTTGACCCTACCCTGGACGTTGCAACCGAAGAGCTTCGTATGCTGGAGGAGATTATGGCTAAGATAAACAGTCCAGATTATTTTAAGAAGTACACTCCATTGGCGACCGCCAAAGAAGGTGAGATCATATCTCATTTTGGTCCGAAGCTTCGTCGCTTTTTGAAACTAATTGGAGCGTAAAGCAAAGTGAAAGGAGAAAAAGGTTGACCGTAGCATAGCTGCCTTTTTCTGTTTCCCAGATCCACGGTCGCCAAGGAAAATGTAGAAAGAAGTTGTTCAGAGCGTATATGCTTTCTTTGATTTTCCAATCCACCTTCCTGTCGTTTCATCCATTATCTGAGTCAAAAGAAATTAGAGTCGTCCTCAATTCCCGAACAGATTTTTTGTGTTTCCTCTTTTTTTACTCGTCAATGACACGTCCAAAGAAAGACTTACTGTATTAAACTATCCTCAAACCACTTACAGTCTACAGTGTCTTGTAACCTCTGAAAATTTCCTAGCTAGACAAATGTCCTTATCAAATTATCTTAACCAGCAAAGCTTCTTGTTCGACAGTGATTGGCAAAATTACACGCCTACGCCCACGCGTTATTCGTCTACATCTCTGAGAAAATTGCTACAGAATTGTAAAAAAAAACTCTACTGAAATAGCAGAGGAACCAAAAAGAATAGAGACTAACTGGGAAATCTCTAATTGCAGGAATGTTGTGCTGTGCACGCTACACTGAAGATGACATGTGGTACAGAGCTCAGATTCAATCAGTTGAACATCAGAGACCTCTTGAGGTCAAAGCGCTATACGTGGATTATGGTACAACTGAAGTACTTAAGGCGGACAGGTTAGAGGACTTAGTTTGTTTCATAGATTTTAAATGACCAGCGGTCGGCATTGAAAGACGGGAGCCAATTCTAACTCATGTAAATTGCATTTTAAGAGTTAGTGAGCCCGCAATTTAAGGCATGGCTGTTTCTTAGTAACGTGACGTTGGTAAGTGGCGATGAAATGACATTGGGGATGGAATTTCTCCCACCCCTCCCCTCAGAAATTTGTCAGCAGTTTTCCTGACTGTTCCCTCAGAAGTGCTGAAGTACACTCTTGAGTGGGCAGAGGCATGGTAGGCGGAAATATTCAAGGAGATACCCGTGTTCGAACCACGATCTCTAGATCCAGAATCCAAGGCGTTGGCCGTTAAGGGAACTTGTCTTCCAACCCTCCTTCTTCCCCCCCCCCCCCCCTCCCCTCCCCCTTTCTCCAAGTGAAAACAGGTGGAAGAACCCATATCGTACATAATGTAACCGCGGAGTTAATGTCATTTCCTATTCTTGTTCTGTTCCAGGTTGCGAGGCTTTCCATCAGAGTTACTAGATTTACCAGTTCAAGCCACACGATGTTTTCTTGCCGATATCAGGCCACCAGACAAAACAGATGGACCAATGATGGATGATACCTGCTGGCCAGTGAGCTCTATGGAGACCCTCATTCAGTTGGTGGCCGGCAAGAAACTTGTTGCGAAAGTTCTAGTGAGTAGGGTAGTAGAGTCGTTTTCTGCGACCGATTAACTTTCACATGAGTGAAACGACAAAGTGTTTTCTCCGTGAGCGAAAAGTGCCAAAAAGTGGAGAGTGATCTCTAATGTTTTGACCTCATTTTTATATGTTGTCGTTAGGAGATCATGAGCAATTAAAATTTGGGCCAGCTCTTTTTCAATGAATCAACCAGCGGCTAATACGTAGAGCACCCAACCACAAACTCGGAAATGGCTGTGGTTAAAATCCTAACGGATGACGACGAGTTTTCATTTTCTTAAGCTCTTGACTAAAGTTGAAGTTCCCTCGCTTTTTCCTCTAGTTCAATGGACCACCGGCCAGTGTGATGTTATACGAACATACAGAGAGACATGACGGATGCGTCGAAGAAGTTTCGATAGGGTTTCTCTTGGCGCAAAGAGGTTTAGCGAAGTGTGTGGATTATGAGGTACCCGTATATGCAGAATCAGACACTCATACCGACGAAAGCTATGAATCAGAGGAGAGAACTTTGGAGTTTCAAGAATCCGAGTTAAAATTCACATCGAAGGATGGATTAGAGATTAGTACTGAGACGAAAGCAGATTCTTCGTCGACTAAATTGTTGGAAAAAATTCCCACTCCTGCACGTAACCTTCCTCCCGCAAAACAACTGTTAAAACCAGCAGAGCTAACATCGAAGGTTACGGATACAGTTTCTATAAACTGTGAGTCGGAAGTTAAGAAAACAGAACCCAGTCTAGATGGGGTCGAAAGTTCTCAACAAACAACAGAAGGAGTTCAATCACGTGATGAAAAAGAGACAGCATCACCGCCTTTGACGTCAGCCCCGGTGGCGAAAGTGACGTCAACAAATAAAAACACGAATTCGGCTGAAGTGAATAAAGATTCCTTGGAATCTGCTGTATGATGAGTAAAAAGAGAAAAAGAGGAAGAAATTATTGTGAATTGCTTTAAAATATGAAGATTATGGGAAAGGACTCTTTTTGACAAAGAAATGTTTAATTTAGTTTTTGTTTTGCAGTTTTGCATCGCAGGTTTTATTATAAAGCTTACCATTGGGCGGAAAATGTTTTCTACTGAGGATAAAATATTACGTTTGTTTGTACAGTTGCTTTGTATAGTAATCCTGTCTATAGGCATATTAAAACTTACTTATATCAACTCGTTTGAGGCTGTCCTTATATCAATTTTAAAAAAAAGTTGGCGTACCAACCAACACGAGGGTCTGTCATTATTTGATACATCAAAAGGTTTATTTGGTTTTGGTGTGCGTCTGTTGGCAATAAAAGAAGGCCAGTTGTAAATTTAACATGAGATAAACCTCGTTTTGAGAGTAAAGTGTGAGAGACGTGGGGGCCTGATAGTTAGTGTGCCGAACTCCGGGTTTAGAGGTCTGGGTTCGATACTTGGCCGGGCGTCTAGCCGGGTCCTTGTAAACCTGGGACGGATTTGTTAACGTAGGATCAGAAGAGCAATTAAGTTTGTAAAATAAATTTATCTCAGGCTACATTTGCGGTGAAAGACGGAATTTCAAAGAGCTAATTGAGAAGCAAGCTTAACATTGACTAACTTAACTATATGAGTAGACGAAAGGTTATCAGCTCGAATGACTTTGAACCACGTCAAAGCTGAGTTTGTAACACTTTAAGCAGGTAGAAGACAACCTGTGTAATAAACCACGCGGGATGTTGGGATAGCACGAGAGATGTTTGTAAATCACGAGCCAAAGGCGAGTAATTTACAAACTTTCCGAGTCCGTCTATTGCTTGACATTTCTAAGAAATTCGAATTGGGCATGAACTCTCTTAGGAACTGCCAAAAAACATCCACCTCAAAGGATGAGGTTTGTCTGTAAGTTTAGTCATAATTAGCTCTAGTTATATAATTTCTGATGCACGTGCAAATGATAATCACGTCTACCAGCGAGAATGCCCATAGGGCGATTCCCGATTATGTAGTAGCAAGAACGCAAAATAAGGCAAACCCTTACTTAGCAATACGCAATATAGTTGGTCTGAAAGTATTCTTCTTTGTGATATAATTTAGTGAACAGTGCTCATGGTTTAACATGTGGTCACGGATGGGTTCATTTTTCATTAATGGCGAACAAAGGAAGCCACATTGAAAGGAAAACTCATAACTTTCTTTTAGTCCAACTCCATTCAAACAAACTTCACTATAGAAGAAAGCCAAGAGCTTTATTTCAGATCAATTCATGAAATATTTTATAGTAATAAGGTACATTTCAAAGAGTGTTCATTTTGTGCGATCTTGACAAATCTACCAGCATCGCTATTTTTATATATTCTAAAAGTACAATATAAAAAACCTCTCCTGGGAGAGTTATTCGCTCCCAAAAAAGCATCTACTTTAAAGGATTAATTCTTAATAAACTCTAGTTATAAATAGTAGCATTGAAAGCTTTTTAAACTTAACGAAATAAGCATTTACTTGTCTGCTCCAAACTGTTACAAATACTAAGCTATCCTGTAATTCTCTTTAAAAGTTTTTTTTCATATTTATATTTGTGCGAGAGTAAGTTAAACAGAAAAACATTAGGGGAGTCACGATACTGTGGTGCTGATGGACATGATAATTATCATTGATAGTTAAACAATTTATAATCCTATACATAGTAACCGTCAGGATTGTAATTACGAAATGTAGGCTTAGATAAAGGATAGTTTGAGTGTGGCAGATACTGGACAGATGCTAGAACATTGCGATCGAATAAACCCATAGATATTTGAAGAAAATTGTGGGAATAAAGGAAGGAAACAGTTCGAATCGCGCGTGATTGTTGATATTCCCAAAACGCTTAACGTTTAATTCAGCAATGATAGTGTTGGGAAAATTGGCTTGCTTCCTCGTGGTGTTAAACTTATTGACTCGACAGAACTGATTACAGATAGAGAGACAAAAAAATTTTCCTCTTAATGATTTCTGCTTAGATGAATCATCGCAACCTTTAGCCATTGGTCGCTTTCCGAAACATTTTATGGAGCACATTTAACGATAGGGAAGAACCTATCATCACGTTTTCAGCATTTCAATATCCATCAAGTCCATTAATTAAAGATCTGGGAAATATGAAAATTTCCTAACCTTGTTCCTTTTTACATTTCAATTTGCTTGTACAAATATCATAATAGTCTACTGCCTTCTGCTTTCATGTCTTACTTCAAAATTGTTCAACGTTTTGATAGTTATGATACAAACTAAGCCAGAATTAACTACGGAATTGTTAATATCCAATATAAAGGACCAAAAGTATGGAATACCCTTCATAAATATTTTCAAGGATTCTTCTCTCTCTATTTCAAAATTGAAACTTAAACATAATTTTATACATAATTATTAAGTATAAGATTTGAGATAATCATCCTGCTTTTTTGCAATTTCTACTCAATAATACTTTGTTTGTATGCGTGTGTGTATTTATGTATAAATGCAAAATGGCACTCAGATTCTTAAACCCCGTGGTTTTTTGGGTACCGGTGCTCCTTACACGTTTAGTATGGAATAAAAAAAAATATATATATATATAGCGTTGTATTAACATTTTATGTGGTGAGGTGAGTAAAGTTTGATGAAAAATCATCAATTTGTCTCTTATATTTATTATGAAAATAAGATAATTTCTCCGTTTTCGTTCAAAAGCGACACGATCAAAGAATATGAAGTCAATGATGTTTCTAAGCATATTTACGAAGTTTCCCAAATTTCGTAAACTGCACGCCCCTTTAACCTTTCACATTCTGTTGCACGTGTGTACAATACGTTATATAATGAAGTTATTTATATTAACTCTGAGACGTTTAATTTAGACATAACCCTCAAGGGAGCTCCTAAAAAAGGCACCAGTCAATTCCAGTAATAAAAATAGCCATGGTTATTACGTGATGATACCCAGCATCTTCAATATACAGTAAGAGAGGGGGAGGGGAGCCCTATAATGACGTTTCTCATGTTGAAAAGAAAGCGTCTTTTTTTAAAGTTTCCGACTTAACAAGTGTAAAAAGGAAAGGAAACATACACTCGCACAAACGTGAAGAAGTTATGTTGGAGATTATTTACCAAAATCATGCTCTAAGATCTGTTGGCTGGGGATCTGAGGTGATCTTTGGCGCACGCCTGGCAAAAACCTTGCCTGTCCGACCCCTCCCTTCCACAGATCTCTGTCCGGTCGGAGGCTCCCCCGTCTTTTCTTGCTTTCGAAATTACTGAAGAGTTAATTCTAATTATTATTTCATAGAGTAATAAAAAGCGATTTGTCTGCCCTTCGTTTAGTGCGTAAAATCGAGGTAGATGTTTCAGTGGATAAGATCGAATCAAAGTGAGCGCCAGGTTTCGTAATTTGAAGTTTCCTTTCTGATATTGGCTTTCTAGGCATCTTTCGACAGACCATTGGAATTAAACTAATCTGCCTTTAATTTGCAGGTAGGATTATTGGCCGGTAGTGTTTTATAGTTTTCTCTTATGTTCAGATGAAAAAAAGTGCCCGAATTGATTTCATTTTTTCACGGGAATATAAAGAAATCGGACAAAAATGTTTTCCAATTTACCAAAGTTCTTTTTCCCATCAAGTACGTTTTTAATAATAAAGCTTTTGTTCTACATTTTCGCGGCTTATTCTAATCCGCTTCATCGGCAAAAATCTTTTCATCTTTTGTTCAAAAAGTTGTCGGTCACGTCCAATATTTATAATATATCATGCAGTTCTCGGCTGGGGGGTAGATCAATATTTGTGCTATTTACACAGACCCTACCCGATAAACCTGGAATTTAGCACTTGATCTCGTTAATTGCAATTAATATTCATTTTCATTTTCTCTGCGAGCGCTAATTAATGGTGATAATATAGAAAACAAGCAAAGATCTTCGTGTTATACAACAAGTTTTATTTCTGTTTGTTTAAATGATTTTTCATTAAAGATAAAGTAATGTATAGATACTTATATATATATCGGCAATTTACAGCTTGTATACAATGAAAATCTTTTTCAATCGAACGATATCACGAAGCAGAGGATCTTAAATTATCAGCAATTTGTCTGTAGTTTCTGTATTTATGGCGTTATTTCTATTAGGTTTTGATTTCACATTATCACCCAAATTTTATATACAACCTGCAAAACAAGAAACGATCAAAGCCTAGTTTCGGATGAAGAAACACATCTCTTTCCTGGCAAGACACTAAGTCTTTCCAAAAACCGATACCGCACTTTCTCTATAACCACTTTTTATATACTGAAAGTTTAATTTGCGACTTCAGACCTTTTGCCGTTAAGAAGTCTAATCTTCTGTCTTTCTGTGTATACTTGGGTAAAAGCAAACGATAAAGTTGTTTTTACTTCACTTCTCTTCTTCCACGGGAAAACTTTCCAGTCCTGAACATTGCGACAAATCTTTTTCAATACATCTTATCTCTAAATCTTTTTCGGCATCACTTGACTTTTGTTGTTGTTTCTCCTCTTTCTCTTTTCGGAATTCTTGCAAAAGTTCTTCTATGTCAATCCTTGGTTCCTCTTCCGGTTCATCCACCCATTCAAGGAAAAACTTATCCATCTTTTCTTTCAGTGTGGCTTTTGGGATGAAGCTAAGCTCTTGTTCACATGAAAGTGGTTCATCTGGGCCAGGTTCATTTGCCTCTGCAAGCGATGGCCGGTCCAACGATAAGCTTTCATCGTCTTCATCACTTTGTTCATTTTCAGATTTTCCTTCATCAGATTTTTCAGTGACGGGCGTTGGGTTCTTCTTGAACTTTCTCCCAAAAATGGACGATTTAGTCGGTGATGTAACATTTCTGCTAACTGCACTCCTTGGTTTTGGCTTAGTGTGCATCAGTTTAGCTGTTAAACGCTCTTTACAAGCCATTGAATCTCTATTCGGGGGTAAAATGTGGAAGTTTGGTAGAGAATTTCTCCTTCTTCTGCTAAAGTTTGCTAATTTCATATCCATATGACTCATCATTTTGCTCTCTTTTTCATTCTCCAATTTGCTGCTTCGCTCAGGTTGAAATTTCATATTTTTTATTTTAGGCAAATCCATGGAGTGGTCCCTTTCGTACGTCATAGCGGGGGGAAGGCTTCCTCTTCTTTGCCGCAAACGAGGATGATCGATTTTAACGTCTGCTCCTGTCATGAGCGCTCCAGACGCAC